AGGCCCGGCTGGGTGGCACTGTCCCCTGCCCCTGGTGACTCCTTATCAGAAGCAGCCCCTTAGTACCAGCGTCAGACCCCGTACTGGCCGCCCAAGGGGCTCAGAAACCGGCCTGGAGATGAATTGAATCATTATTCACCTGCCTGCGACATCCAGGGCTTAGCTACACGTTGCAAGTGAAGCAGCGCAGGGTTCTTTGGTAATGCCTCAGTTTGGGTTGTTACCATGCAGGAGCCGAGAGCCTTCACCGATCGCTTCGCTCTTCCATGATGAAAGGCAGGCAGCTTTCCACAAATCCAGGCGTTAAGCGGCTCCTTGCCTTGTCTCCGCCTGAAGCAGCGCCTTCCCACAGCTTCCATCACCCCTTCAGCAGGGTTGTCTGTGGCTGCGAAAAGGTTTTGCTGACAATGACACTATTTTCTGAGGGAGCATGTACTACGTGTTTCACAATTAATAAATGTAGGAAGTGATATTCTAATCTCAGGCCAAAAATCCCAGCTCTAGCAGCACTGTCAGGAAGATCGTGTCTCCCACAGAGCTCAGTTAAGAAGTTGCAGGATTATCACTGCAGAAATAGGCCTTACACTCCCTAAGGCTAATTCATGTTTCCCACGGGCTTTTTTTTCTGGTAATCTTCTCCACCTTTAATTCATAAAAGCCAAATGTATACCCTTTACAGCATTTTTGAGTGCTTGTATTTAAAAAGAGCTTTTGTTCCATGTCTTCCTGGGTGGAAAAGCTTATGTGTGCAAGAGCGTATTTTAGGGTTTTACTTTCATACTTTAATGATGCTAACTATATTTCAAATTACTTCTTTGAACTTTTTTGCCCAGAGCATTAACGCTAGAAGACTTTATTCCTCAATTATGATCCACACGGGAAGCAGGTTATACAATGCCAGGGCACGTTTTTATTACAACAAAGACAGAAGTTAACGTGTGACAATTACTACAGTTTCATACATGCTGTAGCAGATCTGATAAGCCAGCTGAGGATCAAAGGTTGCACAGAGAGACCCGAGCAAAGGCGGCAGAGGTGACAGATGAGTCACAGCTCGATGGCCCCTGCGGCCAGAGGGAGCGATCCCATCCCCAGGTCAGAGCCTCACAGGCATCCCCCGGCTGCCCTGAGCACGCAGCTCCCGTACCGAGCCCTGCTGAGCAGCTGACGCACAGAAAACTCACCGAAGATCGCAGCAAGAGGCTTAAATAGCTCACTGGCAATACATTTAATTTCTGATGATAGCTACTAAACCAGTGCTGTCTTCTTCGGCTTTACAACTGAAAAACCAGTAATTTGCCAGAAGCGGGCACACCTGCCCTCCAGATTCATCCCGGTTTGATTCTTCCGCAGACTATTGCTCTTTGGGTTTCGTCAGAAATCTGTATTTGAGCCTGGGAAAGATACTGGCAGAGGACAGAAACGCTCCTTGCAAACGCTTCATCGGCTGAAGCAATCCCTTTTTCTCATTTTTACGCTGTAAGGCCTTCTAACAACATCACATACTTTTGAGAAAGGCATTCCACTCTTGTGACAAGACCCTTCCATTCTTGTGAAAGATATATTTTAAATCTGCCGTTAAAAATACTAAAATGTGACACTACCTTGAGATCAATGGTATAAGCAATAAAAATGGGACTGATTAAAACAAGGTCTTTAAAAAAACCCAAACACCACAACCCTTTTTCTTCAAAAAGGAAAACTAGGTTTTAAGATACTACAAAGTTCAAAAGTACAAAAATATGTACCTTTTAGAAATACCCAAGCCTACGAGCATATAAAACAAGTATCAACTTAATATAAAAATATTCATAAAAATATGGCCACCTGTATTTAACCAAGTCCTCAAACCTGTCCTACGCTGATGCAAAGGCTTTGTTGAGAAATTTAGTTACGTCTAAACAGCTATTCTACAGATTAACTTTGTAATAAGTAAAAACAAGATTAAATACCACTGTTATTAGACAAATTCCAGCTCGAGAAGGGATGAGAACATCTGGGGTCACAGGATAATGGTTGCCTCATGCCACCTTACATTTATGGCAAAAGCATTAACTGCAGAAAATGAATATGAAAGTAAATAGTATTTCCACATCCCAAAGAGCAGCTTGAAGGGATTGCACAACTTCCTTACATGTAAATGTTATAAAGCTTTATATTTGTGCTTGAACTTGCAGGGAGAGCCTCATTCCTGTGCCAAGTGCCAGCACAAGACACCTTGCCACAAACTTCACCTTAGAGAGGAGACAGTGTGCTTTTGTTGGCCCTTACGGAAGGTGAATCGTGGCTAATTGTTATTTATGGAGGATAAAAGCCAGTCTACCAGGTCTGATAGATTTTATGTGGCCAAGAAGTGCATGCACAGCCAATAAATAGAAAAATAAAAGGTATTCTACTTTTTTCAAACTATGTAGTGTCCATAAACCACTAGCAGCACAACTCTAAGCTCTACAGTTGAGTTTTCATCCCATCTAGCTTTGCTGAACTTTTAAAAAATGCATACATCACCTGTAGGATTTGAAAAACACAACACTGGCTTTGTTGGCTTTTTTTTTTGTGTGTTTGTTAAAAAAACCTGTGGTCCCAAATTAGCCCTTTTGCATTTTTTGCAGGTGAACATCTCCAGTACAGAACACCAGCTTTTCGCAAGCATCAAATCCCCTTTAAATTTGTAAGTGGCACAAAGGTTTTGCAGAGGCTTTTGAAACTGCAATGAGCTTTCTCTGAAGGTAAGAACAATGTGGTATATGTTCAAAGGAGAAATTAAATTGTTTGCAAAAAAAAAAAAAAAAACCCCAAACCACCCAAAATCTAAAAAACTGCTTATGCGATGAAAAACCTGAAAGCTGAAACTGCATGGCATGTTTGGATAGAATCACTGACTTGCTAAAGCCCGTGTTTCTTTTGAAAGCGGGCACGGCCCATCAGAAGGTCAGCAAGCTACAGTCCTTACTCGGTGTTAAAGGCTTCCCCCATCTCCAAAGACACTGAACATTCATGAAGCCCAAGGATTTCAGCAGGCTCAGGCTTTCTGAAAAAGCATCAGCTTTTACAGGCATAAGTGGATCAGAAGTGGATCCCAGGTCCTGGGAAAAGCAAATGACATCAAAAGATACTCCGATGTCTTGTTTAAAAAAAAACCATCCTTACAGTGAAGTCTCCGTCTGCTTTGCTACAACTAAATTCTGCTCCTGCTTAGGCTTTGGTCACCGATTGCAAAGGAGGCCGGGATCCTTCCTGCAGGGGCACGTGCTGAGATTTTTCAGAGACAGGCACCCAGCTCCCCTTCACCCAGTCAATACACACAGTGAGAAAAAACCACCAGCATTATGTTTGCTATCTTTTTTTTCCTTCAAGCAGCTTTCATGGAGTGCCTGACTGACTGGAGTCATTGCTGTATTATTCCTAAGGCTCATTTCTGGCTTACTCCTCAAGTCGTGTTTAGCACAGGCAGGCCCCCATTTCTCAACAGGGACTGTATCTGCTGACAAACCCCAGGTATGAGGACACTGAATTACAGACCAAGAGTCCTATGGGCATGGAGAGCATCTGTTCAGTAAACTATGTATTTGGGTACAGTAGCACAGGGGATAACAACTATGGTGCAGCAGCATTGACTGTTGGGGTTTGTTTGTTTTCCTCTGGCAGAAAATGCATTTTGAGAAGATCTTGTTCTTCTTTCAGCCCCTCTGACATCCTTCTTCACAAGGGTGTTACCGCATTTTTAGGACTCTCCTTTGAATTCCTAATGCCAGTGGTTTGTTGCCCATTTCTGAAACTGAAAGCAAGTAAAAGGCTGAGAAGCTAGAGAACATTTGACAGGGTGTCATCGGACATTTCTCCCTCCTAATTAGCACTGCTAAAATAACCATGTTACACTACTAATATAAACATTAGGAAAAAAACCCCAAGTGCTCGGTAAAATATGCCTTTCCGGATGGCAGAAGCAGTACAGCAAATAATACTAGGAACTTAAACGTAATTCATTGACTTCAGTCTGTTTATGCAAGAAGCCTGCAAAGGGAATCTGGTTTGACTCTAGGATTTCTGGATACAGTTCATCAACTGCAGAGCCGAAAAGCCATGAGAAGCCTGTAATTTTGATAAAGAGCAGCATGGCCTTCTTGAGGAACCTGGCCCGAGAATTCTTTTTATTCTGGAAGCATAATGACAGCTCCTTAGACCGACCAGGAATGAGATACAGGCAATTCCAGTTTTTCAAGCTATTATTGCTTAAAAAGGCAAATTCTGTTCCAGTGCAAATTCTCACTAAGCTAGATGGTAGCTATGCAGCTGCACTTTGGCTAATTCAGGTTTCCCTCTGCTGCTCCCAAGAGCTTTGCTCCCACGACAGTAACTCGCAAACACTGCACATCTCTGCTGCCCCAGCACTGGAACGGAGGTGCACAGATTTCAGTGGAGATGTTTGTTCAGGGTAGCCTAAATAGCAATGGTGGTGGGGCAAGAGAACTGTTACTGCTTATAGCTAAACAAAACAAACGTGGAGAAAAGCTGTCCTGGCATGTCTCTAGCCTCCTATATTAAAGGGGCCAGAATATGGAAATGCTGTGTTTAATCTGGAGTAGTATCTAATGAAAGAGTGAAGGGTTTTGTAATGCAAGTCATCCTACTAAACGGATAGTTTAAATGAAGAGTTAAGGAGGGTGAGCGATGTCAAAGGATGGAAAGTGTTGGAAGATACAAAGCAACAGTCTCAAGGTGATGTGAAGGGCAGCCCTGATTTGCGAGCGAGCGCCCATTGCCAAGCACATCCGCTCTCAGGTTCAGAGATTCTGCAGAAACTGCATAATGTCAATGTCTGCCAAATTAACAACCCCCAAAAAATAATATAAAGGGCGCTCTGAAAACTTTGATGTTTTGCAGCGGACCAGATGAAACGTGTTTACTGATTGTGTAAAGGGCCGGTGTAGAAAGAGGTCCTGAATTCTTGTGAAGCATGGGATGAGTGACAGCCGCCTTACCATTTCACCTTCAGCATTTGCTCAAAGTTCTCAGGCAGGGGATTGCCGTAGCTCTCCGGGAGAAACAGGGTAAGGATCCCAATCAGCACAGTCAGGCTTCCCATCAGGATATATGGTAGGAATCTGTCATAGGCACCTGAGAGGAGACAGGACATGACACCACTACTTATATGTCCACAATCAATGAACTCGTGTAAAATTTGTATTCCAGATGTCACTGTAATGCAGAATTAATTTGGAATAATTAGCTTAAATCTTCATAAATACCAAAGGTGAATCCAAAACTGAACTACATCTGGTATCTGCTAGCAAACAAAGGGATTTTTCAATTTTAAAACTGCAAGGTGCACTCTAGGATGGTCACCACCTACCATCAGTTTCATGCCATCCCCCATACATATGTAGTGGCTAATAGGTTTTTTTGTACATTTTCAGCTGGGATAGCCAACATCTTTGCAGGGTAACAGCTCTGCTGGGACCACTGCTGGAGTCTTCAGTACTAAACTGTCAGCTGGAACCAAATTCTCAGTTAAATAATTCAATATGAGGGAATAAAAATGCTCACAAGCAACGAAGCGCTCATCAGCTGCCTGGAACTGTGCATCCTGCTGGTCTTGTGCAAAAGAAGGGAAGAGACTGATGGCAGCTAAACAGGCCAATTTCAGGCTGACTGACCATTAACGGGGGGATCCTTAAATACCTTCCTTATTGCAAGGGGAGAAAGCATCAGGCCTCCTGTGACAGACAAGAGGCTCTGACCTTGGCCTACTCAGAATATTATTTTGGACTAGAAGGCAGTGGCCCCTGCCAGCAGCCTGACACTTGTGCAGAA